CCTTTTTTACCTTCACCCTTTTTGCTTTTTAATTTTTTATTTTTTTTTAAATGACCCTTTCTTCCACCTTCTCGCGTGGTCCTGAGAGAGCGTATTATACGTAAACACGGGTTTGAACTGAACAAGAGTGTCCCTTGATGCTGCTGCAAATGATCACCTTGATCTTTTCTCGTCGATCAATCATTCGCCTCCCTGGGAAGAGCAAATTATAATGGATTTCCAATCTGTAGGGTGTCGAAGAACCAATCTCGGCACACGATTCTGTAATGTGGCGACGGGACAGAAAATTAGTATCATGCGAAAAAGAAAAGAAGCGCAAGCTGCCGCTGTGGTACCTCGAATACAAACGGGAATGGTGAATCCGGCAAATTTCTGGAAGAAAAATAAAAACCAAATGTCGTTTCTTCCGGAAAAGTTGAAAACCATGCAAGCAACTTTGCGTACAGAGTTGGGGACAAGAAGACAGTGGACGGGTTTGAGCGGGCTCAAAAAAAAATGGAAAAAGGTTGCTGTCATGAGAGTTTGCGGGCGAATGAGCGAGAGACGCTAGCCACTGTTCTCTCATTGCCCCTTTCGCTTTGCTTCTCTCAAGGTCGAGCTGCACAGTCGGATGAAGCGCTTTGAGGACTTTTATTGACTCGCTCATCAGAGTGAGACAGACAGAGACAGAGAAGCTCAGTGTTGCTAAATTCTCTCACCTCACCGGCTCACCCGCACGCAAGCACAGGTAACGTACAGTAAAGTCGCTTTTTGGTAATTTCGCCTCAGCCGACAAATGTGTGTTGGGCTGAAAACATTAATAATCACAGCATCTAACTGCATGCTTCTTGGTGGGTAAAATATTAAATATTTTGACTCTATTTTGACTCGAAGGTGTAAGGGTGAGAGCTCGCCATCGTAATAATTGTAACTGTGCGATTTCATTGCGATACACACTCTGCAATCACACAACAATTTTTTTTATTTACACCAATCACACATATACGCACATATACACACAAATACACACACACAATACTCTCTCTGTGTTCACGTACTGCGCTCTCGCCAAACCAATCACAGAATCAATCTTGATTTTAATCTCATCCAAAGCTGTTACATTATCGGCCATCAATCGTGATTTTGTTTTTTGGTTGTGGTCGTTATCCATTCGCACCTCCTTCTCTCAACCATCCGCCGTCGCTTCATTTTACGTCTACCCTTTTACCACCTAAACAACAAGCTCGTGTAGCTTGAGGCAAACCCAATCGCGCATTCATCTCCATCCAACAATCGCAGAATCCTGCCAAACTCATAACACTCTCCCTCTACTGTACAATTGGTCGCACGTACCTCATTTGGAATCCTTCACCTCACCACTTCATTTTGCATTTGCCATCTTGCAAACATCCTTCCCATCGAGTCTATTGCTTTCGTCTCGATCTTCACGCCATCCACTACACCGCTCTCACCTGCCATCTCTTTCGATCGGAACTCGCAGTCAAACCGTATTTATCGCTCTTCCCCGGAGAGTCGTCCCTCAGAACAACTTGCCTTGTCAACGTAGAGGCGTTCGCTTACACGCCAAAGCACGCTGCATGTAGCTAGCCGCGCTCATACTGCTGTTCATATATCATCATTCGAGAGCATCTCAACGATATATCATGCAGAACAGTCCAGCTTCGTCGCATAACCCCTTCCCGTCCTCATCAACCCCAAATTCGTTTATGGACACATTCGACTTTGGCAACCCCGATTTCTCCACAACGAGCTCCGGTATCGAAGATCTTACCATCTTCCCAAGCACCACCACCACCGCTCCCTCTTCAAACCTCAATTTACAGTGTGAAGCTGGCGCAGCGCCAGTCAGCCATCACCCGAGCCCTTCCGCCAACTTCAGTCACGAGTCATCCGCGCAATCTCAATCTACATCCAACACACAACACGCCAGTATTTATCTTAACAATTCTTCGCACGCCAGCTCGCCTTTGGCTTTCCCCCGCAATCGCTTCGACAACAATTCCTCCGCTAGTCCACAGGCTGGTCACAGCAACCACGCCAGTAGTAGCGAACACGGTCACAACAACAACAACAACAACAACTTTGTCGACCACAACCTAGCTTCTCCTGCTCTGCAAACCTCGCATTCGATGCAACCGCAGCCCAACCACAATGGAGAGCAAGACGGTCAGATGCCCCAACTTTCCATCTCGGACTTGCAACAAATGCTACTCGAACGTGAGAGGACTGAACGCATTCAAAACATGCAGACCGCCCTATTGAAGCAGCAATTGGACCAGCTCTCACGCATGCAGCAACAGCAACAGCAGCAACAGCAACCGCAGCAGCAACAACAGCAGCAACAACAGCAGCAACAACAGCAGCAACAACAACAACAGCAGCACCAGCACCAACATCAGCACCAACAGCAACACCAGATGCACGGACCCAATGCCAACCTGCAGCTCAACCTGTCAGGATCTGCGGGCCAGCTCTCCCCCGGTCAGCAGCAGAGTCTGCTCGTTGCGCTTCAGAATGCTTTTGCCGCCGGTCACAACCCTAGTGCGCACAATAACGTGCTCCAAGCCGCTCAGTATCAGCAACCGCAACAACAGCACCAGCCGCACGCGGAAGGCCAGATCACATGGCAACAGCAGCAGCAGCAGCAGATGAATGGCTCCCAGGGACAAAATGGCGCTCCCGGCGATCAGTCCGTGTTGGCTCAGTACGGTCTCATCACTCCTATGGGATCCGGACCTTTCAACAATTCCACCTGCCCACCAGGCTCCGCCAATTTCATGTCTCCTCTCACCATTCAGCCAAATTCACAGCCGGGCAGCGTCGGCCTAGAGCACAGGCCTGGCCACGACTACCTGGGCAACTACACCCCGCTCGAGTCGCCCGCAGCTACCCCCGCCAGCGTCTTCTCTACCAGCAGCACTGCCATTGTCATGTCCGAGCTCTTCTCTCCCCTTACCTCCCCCGCACTTGGCCCTCAACCCCCGAGCTTGGGAGAAATGATGCTGCCCCCGGCTCAGTTGCAGTATCATCAGCAATCCCAAGTTTCTGCTGCCATGCACGGCTCTCCCGCCATCAATGCAGTCAACAACTCCACTCCTACCGCCTCTCCCCTGGCTCTCATTGCTAAAGGCTCTTCCAAGATCCGCAAAAATCGCAGCACAACAGCCGAGGCTCGCGCAAACAAAGTGCGACCCTCTCCGCTGATAAAGCCAGTTGCTGGACCTTCGATTAAGAATAAGAAGAAGGAGGCACCGTCGCTCGCCGGTTTCAGTGCAGCGACGCCGTTGGCGAACGGAAATGGTGCAAGTGCGAATGGTGGGGGAAGTAGTGGACCCAGTTCGAGGAGGGCGAGCATCACCGCTGCTCCGGCGGAGAGGTCTCATTCGAGACACCAGAGTACCGAAGCGGGGCAGAGTGAAGGAACGAGCTCTACGCCAAGTCCGATCGACTTGTCTGGGGGAGGTGCAATGCCTCCTCCTTCAGGCCCGACGAATAAGATCTTGACGCCGAGCAGTATCATGGGCATTCGCTCAAGTCCGGGTAGCTCGGCCAACTCGCCTAACGGCAACGTTCGCGGCGGTGCTGGAGCATCTCTGTCCTCCGCGTTGAAAGGCAAGGCGAGGGGAGACGACTTGCAAGCACAACAGGCGCAAAAGCAACAGCAACAAAACCTCATACAGCAACAAATTTCAATGGGGATGCCTAGTCAGCCTCCACCGCAACACCAGATGTATCCCAACATTGCGCCCTTCCCCACCAATGCTTCCACCACTGGGCCAAAAGTGACGTTCAACCTTCCGCCTTCGCACCAGATAGGCGTAGGCATGCCGAGCATTCAGCCCAACCAGCTCTCCCAAGCCGATCGGGACGCTTGGATGTCGTACAAATCCGCGGGTGGCCTCGAATCTCGTCGAACATCGCACAAGGCTGCGGAACAAAAGCGTCGGGATTCGCTCAAATTTTGCTTTGACGAATTGCGTGGACTACTACCCGCCATCACTCTGGACGAAGATGTGCCCAATGGTTCGCTGCTCGGACCCGATGGAGTGGAGGAAGATCGTGAAGCAGAACAGTTTGACCCTGCGGAAGTGGGGGATTCTGAGATGGCCAGGACTGCCAACAAGGCGATTAGCAAGGTTGCATTGTTGAGGCATAGTAACGAGTATTTGGTCAGACTCAAAAAGAGGTTGGAGAGGAGGGATGAGGCTTTGCTGGTGTGTAGGAAGGAGATACGAGAGTTGAGGGAGAAGTTGGGGTTGCCGACGAGTGATGATCCGAGTATTACTGGTAAAGGTGCTCCGTTGGGTTGGACGGATGATATGGTGATGGGTTATGAACTGTCCATGGGTGTTGAGCAGGGAAGTGAGGCGGTGAGTCCCGATGAGGGTGGCAAGATGGATCAGACGGCGTAAAAAGGGCGAATTTAAATGCCGTCATGCTGCAATGCTGCTTTGTGATATCATATGATCGCTCGTCTTTAGTATGGCGAGCAAGTTGGGTCAAGCCTGCTTTTTTTCTATTTTTTTTTTTTTCCCTTTCTTTAAAATATCTCGGTAGCTATTGTCTTTTTAGTCATGACTCGAACAATGTCCGTACCTTTACTCGCTCCAGTTGCATTGTAATTCATGAGCAGCACTGAAACATGTGTCTGATTGGACACAAGACAAGTGACTGTGAATCAGCGAGGCAGGTCAGTTGATTCATCATATCGGCTGACGTTGGTGGAGATTTTTGTTTTGTGTTTTGTTTTGGCGTCAACCTTTTTGTCAGTGCAGTGGACATGTCAATCCGATCTCATCTTTTGATTGTAGGCCAAATCGAGCTCATTACACGGCTTCTCACAGGTAACATTCTCCTTCAATCTTTCCCCGACGCTATTGCTAATTTTGGGTAATAGAGCAGTAAGCGATATGTGGTTGTTTTAAGCTGGTATCGATTCGGAACAGGCAAAAAAAAAAAAAAAAAGAACGGAAATGATCCTTGCGAGGTTAAGGAAAAAGTTCCCGGCCAGGGAATCGAACCCTGATCTGAGCAGTGTCACAAACCTGCACGAAGCTTGCATAGTGAGAGTGCCCTATACTAACCATTGTACTAACTGGGACGTTGCTACTTAACAAAAATTAGCATATATGAATCAATGCGATTTGAAGATACAGATCCACCGTTCTGGGATGAACTTCTTGCTCGAATTGAGGGTGGAAATAATGGGGCGCATTTTGACGTTGCTTAAATTGCAAGAAAAGTATTTCTGCGCACGGTCCAACAAACTCGTTGGCAGCTTCAAAAATATTACTCTCACCTTTTTACACTACACCATCACCAGCGCGAAAGGACATATCACCATATCCCACACAAACGTACACACACAACACAACCTTCTCAAACCTAATCGTAGAGGTTCAGCTCTTTTACCATGGCGTCTTTGAACGAGACTGAAGTGCAAGATCTGTACACGTTTGCGATCGATCTGGCACGTAAAGCTGGAAGGGCTATCGTGGATGGATCTTCACGTCGTTTCTCTACTCCTGCGTCTGCAAGTAGTTTTGATCACAAGAAGAATACGGCTGATTTGGTCACAGAGACGGATCAAGCGGTTGAGGCACTTGTAAAGAAGGAAATTTCGACCAAATATCCTCATCATAATTTCATTGGCGAAGAAAGTTGGGCTGCAGGGGAGGAGAATGGGATTCCTGATAATGGTGTAGTTTGGATTGTTGATCCGATTGATGGTACGACCAATTTCGTTCATGCTTTTCCGTATACTTGTATTAGTATCGGAATTGTGGTGGATAAAGTGACCACGATTGGTGTAGTATACGCGCCTTTTATGGATACGCTTTATCACGCTGCAAAGGGGAAAGGCGCTTATATCAGTTCACCCCATTTTCAAACTCCGAGGAAACTTCCATTGACAGATCCAGCTCCCTTGGAAAACATCAATCAAGCTCTAGTAGCTTTCGAATGGGGTTCGGATCGTCGATCCGAGATCCTCAGCAAAAAGTTGTCGAGTTTCGCAAAGATCACTGGCGATCCCACGGGAGGCGTGATCGGTGGTAAAATGGCACAGGGTGTAAGGAGTTTGGGTAGTGCCGCTTTAAACTTTTGTCATGTAGCAAGTGGAAATCTGGACTTGTACTGGGAGATTGGATGTTGGGCATGGGACGTTTGTGCTGGTGTAGTTATTGCTCAAGAAGCAGGCGCTGCCGTGGTTGGATCGCAGAAACATGCAAACGAGGTAATTGACGATCAAGGTACTGAGCAAGATGCCAAATTCAACCTTGTAACCACTCAAGTGCTTACGGGTAGGAAATACGTCGTTGTCAGAGCCATTGATGGTCAAAACAAGTCAAATAACGTCAAAGCTCAGAAACACTTGTTGAAAGAATTTTATTCGTGTGTCGACGAATGGGATCCTTGAAATCAGTCCCAATACTGTCGAGGTCGATCATGTAGAAATTGTGTGGTAAGGCCATGATCAGAATTCTAAGTCAAATTCATCAAATTTTTTTTTTGACTCAAAATATACAAATCCGAACAAGCCTCTTCAAGAGACTTGACATGATCGTGAAACAATCCAAACAGACTTAAAGACGAGACATGAGACCATCAAACAAGGAAACCCCCCCCCCCACAAAAGCTCACCCTCCCTGCTGCCTTGACAAACTCTCAGTACATGAGCGTGTAACAAACTTTAAGGGAGCCAGAGCTGTGGCATGCATGCAATCGGCCCACCGAAAGTGTGTCAACAAGATCCACAAATCCTCAAAACAGCCCAAACCACACTCTTCACGTCGTTACCGTTTGCAATTGCTCACAAACGCCTTCCTCCTTTCTGCAAGCACAGTCGTTTTTTAAATCACAAACCGATGAGCTAACTTTGACACAACGTGGAAAACCTTTCTTGTGTTCAATTGGTATCAAGTGGCCGACGATCACCAACAAAGCATTTTGCATGCTATGAACATCAAGACAATGCACGGGGGAGGGAGACTGGGGGCACATAAGGGTGAATGTGCGTCTGTGTGTACGAGAGCACCATCGCGACGCCTTCAAGTGGGACTTCTTCGTCTGATGACACTCACGCACGCTGTGCGACATGTTGCTTCTCCTGCTTCTCCTTCTTTCCAGCCGTGGTGACAACTTTGAGGATCTTAAACTCTGCATCGTCGATTCAACTAGCTGAACTACCCTCACTTTCAATAGCCATCTTCTCCTTTGCTTCAAACATCGGAGAGCCGGTTGGAGTGGTGGTCGATCCCTCGATCCTCCAATTCTGCATCTCATGCCATCCCTTTTCGTCTCTATACGCTTCAAGCGCAGCCACTGCAGCCTCGGCAGCAGCCCAAGCGACTCGGACCGCCTTGACATGCAGATCGTGCCTCCTAACGAATCTCAATGCTCTGCTGGTTTCCCTAACTGCCAGTTGCGCGCCTTTCTCCGTCAAGCTGTACTTGGCGTCGATAGCTGCGAGGATGGAGACGAGCTGTCGGAGAAGCGCGTAGAGCTGTGCGGGGAGAGGAGAGCGTTTTAAGGCTCTGGCGAGCGAGGCGCTCAGCAAGATCAGCCGTTCTTCCGCCGAGTCTCTTGCTTCGGGGGTCGGGTTGAAGTGACCGCGGGTGTCGAGTTGCTGTTGCTCTTCAGGAGTGAGCGATCCAGAGGTTGATGCAAGCGAGGTAGCCACGGAGGAGGTCGGAGCGGGTGGGATATGCTCAGAACGAGCCACAGCACCCAAACTGCTGGCAAGAGCACTCGCAGCTGTACTGGCAAACGCAACAGCCAGCTCCCACTGCTTGTTGTTCTGATTGATAGCTCGGGTCCAAGCTGTTCTTGGCGTCGCTGCTCCACTACCTGGTTGAGAAGCCGACATCCTGGGTGAAGCCTCTCCACCTTCTCCATCCATGCTCTCAAGATCTTCATCGTTATCGAGATCAGTAATCTTTGAATCTTCCATCACCTTATTCCCCTTGACAGATTCAGTACTTGGCCGGCGGGGCGCAATCGCCCCGAGATTTGCACTCAAAGCCGACAAAGCGCCTGCACCGATATGCAAACCGATATCCAACACGCTAGTGCTGATCTTGCCTGCAAATGAACTGGATCCTCTCGAGCTTGCCTTAGCTGCTGCATGAGCTCGGGAGAAATCTCCACCACCAAAGATGCCGCTGTTTGCGGGTACTGCTGTGTGGTAGTGATGATGGACGACGTTTGCTGCGTGAGACGCTTGCTGAATCTGCAGCTTTTCCCTTTCTAGCTCCAGTTCCCTTTTAATTGCTTCTGCTTTGGCTAGTTCTGCCGTGGCATCGAATCCCAACTTGGACATGCCTTCGTCCAAGCGTTGCTTGATTTCTTGCCGTTGCTTGTTGCTGAGGCCGGGAGCTTCCTTGTCCGAAATAGCCGAGATGAGATAGCCTAAGGAGGAGATGTAGAGGTCCAGGGAAAAGCCGAGATCGTCGTCATCATCATCGCTTTGCTCTTCTTCCGATTTCAAGCCTGCACTTGCATCCGGATGACGTGCGAATCGGGTCATCTGGCGATTCTCTCCGATGCTGTTGCGAGAAGTATTTGACCAAGCAGCTTGGAGGCTCGGCCTACGAGCCACAGCAGCCACCTTCTTGGCGCGTTTCTCCTCCCACATTTTCTCATCTTCCTCAGCCGCTTGAGCTGCCTCAACTGCTAAGCTAACCGCCTTGTCCAGCCGCCGTCGGTCCAACTTGACCGGCCTCTTGACGCTGTTGTCGCCATGCTTGACCAACTCTTTCGAGCGAGCTCCGGTTCCGGGTGCTAGTGCAAGACCATCGCGGCGCCGAGGGCTGTGTACATCAAGGGAGAAATTGTCGTCGTTGGATGAGCCCGAAGAAGAGACCGAGCTCGACGGCTGTGAGGTAGGGGCGAAGCGAGCAGGGACCCAGGCGGCGGCAAGACCGCGGATGGAATTGATAGATCGAGCACGGAATCCCGCCTGACGTTCAACTGTCTTTTCTGCGCTAGACAGCGCTTTGACGTGATCGCGTCCAGTGGCAGCACTCAAGGAAGACGTGCGGCCATGCGGTGTGGCTGTCTGTTCGCGAAGCGCTTTCGAGAAGAAAGCCGGGGAGCGGGAAGTTGCGAACGACCGAGGCAATGTCTGGGGCTGACTGTGGTGCTGTGTACTTGTTGTTGCCTTGACGGTGGTCGTTTCGGAGGGCGGGGGTGGGGATGGCGGTAGCAGTGGCGATTTTTCAGATACCTCAGGTATCTTTTTCGCGGTGGAAGCTGGCGAATATTTCACAGAAGTGGCCGGAGTGTCCGCTGAAGAAGTGTGGCTACTGCTCGTAGTTGGTTCAGGGCTATGTAGCAGCCTTGCGGGATAGTCCTCACTGCTGGTCGCCGAAGATGTTCTTGATGCCAGTGCCGGCCGTCTTGGCGTTGCTGGTTCTTCTTGCTCAGAGGCGGGCATGGTCGATGTAGCCTGAGTGGGAAAGGCAATAAAATTTTTGCTATCTCCAAGGTTTTCTGTGCGTTTCGATTGCCCTCGAAACCGTACCTCTTCACCAAGATCGCGTGGACCTTTGTTGCCTTGTACTTGGGCAAAGGTAGAAGTGCCACCTTCATTCGACCAGCCGACACGTGCGTTTATGGGACTCATGTCGTCCGCCCATTCTGTAGGATCGGGGTTAGAAATGATCAGTTCGGCATCCGTACTCATTGTTCCTCGTGAGTTAGAAGGCAGGACGGAAGCCTGCGCCTGCGCTTCCGATGAGATCGTGTTCGTCAAGCTGCCTGTGGCTGCATTGGTAAGAAAGGATCCGAGCGAGTTCAAGCTTGGCAACGAGAGAAGGGAGGATGTCCGTCGGTGGTGACCCTTATTGGATTCGGTCGAGGCCGAGACCGTGGTGGTGTTGGGATGATTCTGGTGTGTGCGGACCGTGATTGACTCAGGAGCAGCAGCGTTGGCCAAGCTGCCCGCGAAAAGAGCTTGTGATGATGACATGTTGGGTTGCGGGATGAGATTATCTGAAGCTGCGAACTGTGGAACTATGAAGAAGGTCAAGTGTGAATGCGTAGATGGTGACTTGGTTTAGGTTCGGATGTGCCGCTGAAGAGGTTTGACCGAATGAAAGT